AAAAATTAATTTCTTTTAATTTAAAAATTCCAAATTATTTAATTTAAATATAATTTTTTAATTTAAAAATTAATTAGTTTAATTTTTAATATCATTGTACAATATTATATAACGAACATTTAAATATATATATAATAATATTAAATCAAATATAAATAATATAAATAATTAAATAAATATAATTAAATGAGAAATATAATAAAAAATCGAATATACATAAAATAAAAAAAAATTAAATTAAATTAAATTTTTATTTATCATTAATTCGAGTAATTTAATCGTCGTATTAAATAACGTTCTTTAAACGAGAAAAGAACAATTGCTATTATTATTATCATTATTATTATAATTATTATTTTTATCGAATAATAAAAAAAAGAAAATTGAAATCGTTATCTAGATAGAAAAGTAAATTTTTTTTACATTGAGAACAGCTTTTATCCATTTTTCTTTATCAACGTTTTACTCTTTGCGAATAATTTGAACTTATTGTTAAATCCTTTTTCCATCGAAGATTTGATCATCTCATTTCTCTCTCTCTCTCTCTCTCTCTCTCACTCTTTGTCTCTCTTTTATTCTCTTTTTCACACTCTCATATTCTCGTTATTTCATTCTTTCACTTGAGTTCAATTTACCTTTTCAAATATTTTCCAAGTATCAGAGATATTTGAAGTGAGCAACGTTTGATTATTCCTATTATAATACTTACAGTTTAAAATTGAGAATTTCATATTTAATGGCATAATAGAATACTTTCTATATTATTTTATTTTATTTTATTTTATTTTATTATTATTACAATATGCAATAATCAATAGAAATATATATATGTTGGATAAAATTGATAAGAGAAATTTAAAGGAAAGGTTTACTTAAAAAGGTTGAAAGAATAACAGAAGGATGATTGATAATAAAAAAAAAAAAAAAAGGAATGAAAGAGAAAGAGTGTGATCAACAAGGATGAAAAAATACGATAAAATGTTAAAAATTTGTATTAATAAAAAGTACATTAATTTATTAATATTTATCATTACGATAATCAAACATTAATATATTCTAATATTAAAAAATAAATATTTAATTAATCACGAATTAGTTGATATATCATTTTAAAAATAAAAAGAAGAAAGAAGAAATAGTGTTACACCACTTTCCAAATTTAATTTAAATAAATAATAATTTAATTATAATTAATGAATAATACAAAATATAATAAATATATTAATAAATTATTTTTATATTAATAAATTATTAAAATATAAAAAAATATATTAATAATAAATATATATTAATATAGTTTTAAGTAACAATAGAAAAAAATCATAAAGAAAAAAGTCATATGACATAACAAACGTCAACTTTTTATGACCTTACTTTTTTTGAAAATGCATCGATGCACCCGCAAGATGCAGTTGCACTTTTTTTTTTAAATGGAACTTAATATTTTTTTTTTTTTTACACTAATCGATTCCATTTTTTATTCTACGTTAAAAAGTATTAAGTGAAGGTCATCGAAATGTCAATAGTTTATGCGATATTTGATGTTTTATATCAGCAATGTACAAGGTGAATCTTTTAACGGGGACGGGTAATAACTTTTCTTTAAATAACAATAGAAAAAAAAATCATAAAGAAAAAAGTCATATATATATATATGACACAACAAACGTCAACTTTTTTTATGACCTTACTTTTTTTGAAAATGCATCGATGCACCCGATAGATGCAGTTGCACTTTTTTTTCAAATGGAACTTTATATTTTTTTTAACACTATTCAATTCCTTTTTTTATTCCACGTTAAAAAGTATTAAGTGAAGGTCATCGAAATGTCAATAGTTTATGAGATATTTGATGTTTTATATCAGCAATGTATTTTAATTAATTAACTTTTATTCTGACCCAAAAAAAAAATGTATAAAATGTACATTATAAATAATAAAAAATAAGAATAAAAAAAAACAAATAATTTTTTTTTCTCATCTTCGTTAAACATGTAGATGATTTTTTTTTTTTTTGTTCAATCCACCTAAGTGTGTATATATTAAATAATTTATATATATATATTACGGAGATATCAAAAATTTGTTGACATAAAAATTGGTTTATTATCGATATCGTTTGTTTTTGTTTTTGTATTTTTTTTTTTTGAGAAAAAAATATTTGGAAAAAAAGTGTAGTACTAAAAAATGGGGGGAAAGAATATAATAAGGAGAAAGATAAAGAGAAAGATAGATAGATATAGTGAAGAAGAAGGATGCTAGGTTGGAAAACGAACGGACATGCGTAAGATTGAACGATATATACCATCCGTGGAAGTCAGTATCGTTTAAACTTCGCACGACGACGGTCGCGTATATGGTATTTACCTTTCGTTTAATACTAATTCACATATTATCGGTGACCATTCTTTAAAAACAAAAATTTACGTTATTTCTTATCAAATTATTTTTTCTCATACCCCTCAATCGATACATTCAATTTAAATTAATAATTCATAATTAAATGATAAAAAATAAAACAATATTAAAGTAACGAAAGTATTGAAAACTAACAAAGTAAATTGTAAAAAGTAAACGTAAAAATAAAAATTAAAAAAAAAAAAAGAAAATAAAAAATTGTATAAGGAAATGGTTAAAATTAAAAAAGTAAAATTAAAAGATAAAAATTAAAAAAAAAAAAAAATAAAATAAAGAATTGTATAAGGAAAATGTTAAAACTAACAAAGTAAACAGTAAAAAGTAAAATTAAACAATTAAAAAAATTAAAAAGTGAATGAGGAAAAAGTAAAACGTTATAAACGTAAAAATAAAAATAAAAAATAAACAGAAGAAAAAGAAGAAGAAGAAGAAGATGATAAAAAAAAATTCATCTTAAATCGTGTTAATTTTTTTTTTTCCAAAAAGTATTTTCTAAGAAAAATTGAAGAAGAAAAAAAATACCAAAAATTTCTTTAAAATTTGCATTTTACGCGCTCTCGTTTAAATCACCTCGTTTGATTTCTAAATAAATAAAAAAAAAAAAAAAAAACAAACCAAATAGAAATAAAACAACTAAAAGAAATACTACGTACACATAGAAACGTACACTTAGAAAATAAAATAAAAAAAAAGAGAGAGTGTGTTTGTGTATGTGTGTATAAAAAAAATGTTTCTATGAGAAAGAGAGAAAGAGAGAGAGAGAGAGAGAGAAAGGAACATAAATAAAAAGCAAAAAAAAAAAAAAGTCAAATTAAAATTAATATATAAAAGTAAAACTAAAATATTTCCAACGTTAAATTTATTTTCCTATAAATCAACCAATCAGAGGGTAATCTGGCGGATAAACTTCTACTTCTTCTTTTTCTTCGATACTTATCAGAATTTATAAATGAACGAGACTCATCGTACACTTTAGTTCAGTAAAATACTTCACGTGTATTAAAACGTTCGTGTATTTTCTTAATTCCGTGACTTATATATATGTGTGTGTGAGAACGTAAATAATATTTATACGTAAATACATTTACATATATTCACCACACATACATATACATGTATATATATATTTAAAAACTACGTATGATAAATAACATTTGATAGATATATATATATATGTATATATAAAACATAAACACATAAAATATTAAATATAACACATAAAAGCTTTTATATATAAAAATGTAAAAATTTATTGACAGAGTTATATATATATATATAAATTCCTGTTACATTGATAGATCATATCTTTATCGTGAAAGATCGTATTGACGATTATGACAATGTCAATGATGCTTCACTTTCAATAATGACGTCTCACTAAAACCGTAAGTAGTTATTTTATATATATATATATATATATATATATAGATATATTTATATGTGTGTGTTATGTCATATAGTTTTAATTAAATCATCGATAATTGTCAATGTCATTCTTTGTATTAATTATTATCTTATTCCTTATGATCGTAATATTATATTTATAGAATACAGATGCAATTTATAATCTCAAAATCTCTTTTTAATCTTACAAAACAAATATCGTTGTTGTTATAATGATCGATAAATATCACTGTATATATTATCTTTACTTATTTACAATACTCCCAGTTAGATTTTATTTATGTGATAACAAAATGTTTTCTCTTTAACAGATTAATCATTTTTTTTTATTTTTGGTCAATTTATTTATTATTATTAGGTTATTTTTGTTTATTTATGAATCATACAAAATTTCATTTATTTCTATTTCTATCTTATTTATTTGTTTACAATACTCAAGTTAGATTTTATTTATGTGATAATAAATGTTTTCTCTTTAACAGATTAATAATTTTTTTATTTTTGGTCAATTTATTTATTATTAAGTTACTTTTGTTTATTTATGAATCATACACAATTTCATTTATTTCTATTTCTATCTCATTTATTTATTTACAATACTTCGGTTAGATCTTATTTATGTAATAACAAATGTTTTCTTTAACAGATTATCATTTTTTTGGTGTTTTTTTTTTCTTTTTCATTAATTTATTATTAAGTTATTTTTGTTCATTATATTCATCGTACAAAATTTCATTTACCTCTATTTCTATCTCATTTTTTCTCCTGTAAAGATGTTTAAGTAAAAATTAGTAGTATTAGGTGTTTCTTTTTCCAATTAAAAATTCGTGATAAAATGGTAATCCTCAAAAAAAAAAAGGAAAAAGGATTTTTTAATTTTATAGATCGAATGTATAATTATTCATGATAATATTCGTGTTTTATGTCACAGTTCAAAGTACTTTTAATAATTAAATTTTTAATATTCAATGATAATAATTTTTAATTAGAAAAAAAAATGATTCTATATATTTTATTTATTTTAATTAATAATATAAATAATATAATCTTGTATATTGAAAAAGTATTATAATATATCCGAATAACATATATAAATAAACAACATTTAATATTTATTTTTATATTAAAAATTGTGATAGTAGTAGTAGATAAAAATTAGGTCAAATCAATAACTATTAAATAATTTTAAAAATATATTTTTTACTAATAAATAAATACAAAAAATAATAATTTATTTGTGCATCATATTTGATACACTTATTTTAATAATTATTTTTCAAAAAATTTATATTAAAAATTGTGATAGTACCAATTTAGTTCAAATCAATAACTAATAAATAATTTTAAAAATATATCTTTTATTAATAAATAAATAATAAATTCGTGTACTATATTTGATACACTTATTTTAATAATTATTTTTCAAAAAATTTATATTAAAAATTGTGATAGTACCAATTTAGTTCAAATCAATAACTATTAAATAATTTAAAAAATATTAGTAAATAAATAATAAATTCGTGTATCATGTTTGATATACTAATTTCAATAATTATTTTTCAAAAAAGAAAAACAAAATGATTAGAAGTGTAGTTTAAAAGTTTGTTAAATTTGAAAAGTTTGTCAAATTTCAATAATTATTTTCCAAAAAAAAAAAAAAAAAA